TCTTATTTGTTAATGGTACAAAAATAAATTTTTTTGGAATCTTAAATGTCACTTACACGGTTATAATTCTAATATTTATAGAAAGTCCCATACAGTTTTCCAAGCTTTTAATCGATTTAAACTTTCTCTTTGCCTGTCAGGCAAAATTTTGGAAATACCGTCGATCTGGTTCGCAATCTGCCACGCCCCCGCTTCGCCCGATCCCATTTGTCCTGGCAACTATTACCCGAGCAATTTGAGACGGTGAAGCCAAGGATCGTTTACACAGCTCGAAATCCAAAGGATCTGTGCGTTTCGTACTACCACTACTGCAAGTTGCTGCACGGAATTAATGGGGACTTTGAGCAGTTTGTAGATCTCTTTCTGGAGGGACTCACGCCAATGGGATCCTATTGGAAGCACGTGCTGCCCTTTTGGAAACGTAGCCAGGATGAGAATGTGCTGTTCATCAAGTACGAGGACATGATCAAGGATCTGGCGAGTGTGGTTCGTCGCTGTGCCCGATTCCTTGGTGTTCAGAGTCTCCTTGATGCATCCAGTATGAAAACCTTGTGCGATCACCTTACATTCGACAAAATGCGGGCCAACAAGGCGGTGAATCTGGAGCAATTGCTTCCGGATTCATCTTCGAAGTTTATTAGAAATGGGAAAATCGGCGACTGGCGTAATCACATGGGAAATGAAATGTCCGAGCGTTTTGATGCCTGGAGTGAACAGCATATTCGCGGTGCTGGATTAACCTTTGACTACGAATAAAAGATAATCCCTATATAATTTTCGAAGTAATTTTGGTTAGTCTTGTAATTTTTTTTAGAAATTTAAGCTCTAACAATCAACAAGGTTAATAAAATGCCCTATTCAAGATTAGCCATTTGAAACCTATCTTGATATTTTCGAAATGATCAATGATCAAAAAAATGCGGAATATACCAAAAGCGACCAAAGAAATACCAAAAACTTCTTTCTCTCTCCCACCTCTAATCGATAGAAGTGTTATCGAATTTAGCCGGCACTCTTGTTTACATCAGAATTTGTTCATTTTTGTTAAGTTTATACAAAATGACAAGCGACGACACCACCGAAGCCCTGGTGGCCCACATGTGTGAGCTGGTGCAGTTCTACATGCTGCCGGAGTTAAAGGAAGATCTGGACAACATCCAACTGGAGGCGTCGCAGTTCGAGAGCTACCATTCACTACTTACCCAGGATCTGCCCAAGCTCTACGACTTGGTGCAGGAATTCCTCCAAAAGACTGGCGATGCCGGGCACGAAGAGGTTGCAGTCCAAAAAATTGTTATTCAATAACTACAATCTAGTTACATTTTAGCTGAAAGTCAAGCTGCTCCTGCTAATTTGCGAATTGACAGCGTCTCCCACTGTTTACCAACTGAAGGATGATTCGGGTAATCTCTTAAAGAATGCCCATGATTTGGCCAAGAAGCTATCTGCAAACTGGTGGGAGTCCACGGATGTCCAAATACTGAGATACTACGAGAAAAAACTTCACAGGGATTGTTGGAAGAAACAACTGGGAGCAGTGCATGGTTTTGGCAGATATCTGGAGGTTAGGTGTAGCACTTTATATATCCCAACGGTTTATTTTATTCCCAATCTCTTTCCCTCAGCTTCGTTATGGGAATAAATCCAGAATGCCCACCCAAATGCTGGCCTTTGCCCTTTCAGTAGGTCTCAATGTACGTGAATGCTACGATTCTATTTACAAACAACTGGGCGTCAAGATCTTCTCAGTCATGCTTAAATATAGCGTGGGTTAAACATATCCCTTCAACGAAGATTTTTAATAAAATAGTTGATATTACAGGATCCCAAAGACATTCAGGAGCTAAATGTGCACAGCGTGATCTATGATCATGCTCTCAAGGATGCCTACAACATGGAGTCCACTGAAGCCATCGAATCGGTTTGGAACTGCATGTATTTATGCCTGGATCACTTTGTTGATCTTGATTCTTTTACGGTTGGTAATCAAACAAATTCGCGGACCGCCTTAACCTATGTATTTTTCATAATATACATCTTAGTGGAACCAGTGCGACGACATGCTGGAGCGTCTCATCCAGAATGTGACCATGTCCTCTAATCCTAAAATCTCCATCTGCCTGCTGCAGGCTATTACACGACTTGGCTACTACTTTACAATCAATCGCCGCAGTGTGGAGGCTGCTCTGGCCACGGATATTAGCCAGCCAGATAAGTTGGCGGCTTGCCGGGAAGAGTGTCTTGCGTTGAACGCCAGCACCAGCTTTCGTTGGGCCAAGGCCATCCTGCAAATGCTCGTCCTGGAGTCGGATAAACTGCTACAAGGCGCCGAGGTGTGTGCCGAGCTGCTGGAGCAGATGCTAAGGTGCTATCTGGTGTGCATCCTGCCTATTCCCCTGCAGGCCCTGCACTCGCACCTGCCCGAGTTTTATGGGAAGTTTGTGGCTGTGCTGATGGAGTGTCTAGTAACCCATAAGAGGGTGCCTCCAGTTCTAAATGTAATGTTTTATATCACCACCCTCTATTCTCAGTTAAATCTAACAGTCGTTTGTCCTCCAGCTTGTTCTGCGATTCACGGAAATCTTCAGCTTCCAACTGGAAAACTGCTCAATCCAAAAAATACCCTCTGACTTGGCCGAATTCCCCGAGGCTCTGACAATTATACATTGCAAGATTTTGGAATAAATGTGGGTGACTTTATGATAAGTAGCGATCTAGTAATACACGATATACTATTGTTGCCAACAAGGTATGTGGTACAAGGGCTAAAAGTGCCGGCCTCCATCCAAAGAAGAAACCTCTGTAGCCGTGTCTTTTTATAATTTTGCGGCACATGTAGGAGTAGGAGTGGTGACCGTAGGAGGATTCGTTCAACGTAAGAATGGCTATGCCATCCACAGGAGTCATAATGACCGTGATAATGCCGCCCGTTAAGGCCATAGTTATAAGATCGCTAAGCCAGGGCTCGTCCAGTCCATGGAACCACGATATCAAGGTATGAACCTTATCGCTAACGGGGTTATACAGCATGGCCACGGATGTGCTGGAAAAGGCGTTTATCTTCCAGCCGTTAAATAAATATATGAATCCTCCCTTCCTGTACATGCATTTGAGTCCTAGCCAGAAATTCCGATAGCTAAAAAGAAGGATAAACTTGTATAGCTTTGAATGTATACACATACATCACAGGTATTTTCTGGTTTGGAAGTAAAACCTGAAAATGCCTGATTATCTTTCCCTTTCTTTACTTGCGCCTCTGGTAGGAACTGCGCGTCAGATCCGCCTGCCGAATGACCGCCAGTTTGGCAAAGGGTGTGGCCATGACACCGCCCCAAAATCCGGTTAGTCCCAGGACCGTACTAGTGTTGTACGGCTTCAGCATCAGCACATACTTGTTATCTCGTAAACTGTAGAATAGAGTATATGTGGACAAGGTGTGTACGGTACAGCGCAGCCCAGAGGCCACAATGCCGTAATAAAATCCGGGTAATCCATGCCTGGCCATCAGCCGGAACATATTTTGCATGTTTAGACGACTATGGTGGATCACATTTGCCTGGATATTCACCCGAACCAGCTCCATGGGATGCGACAGCAGCTGCGCCGTCATCTTGATTAGAAAGCCCACATACACAGGCATCTTTACGAATTGCTCCAACGAACTTCCCGCATCGCTATTATTCATTATCTTTACAAATTTATATATTGAGAAAAATTTTAACTGTTTTGTACTTAAAAAGCTTAGGCTACTCGCACTCGGCTCGCAGTTTTGCGATCTCCAGCTGGGTCTTTTTCGCCTCCAACATGGTGACGCTTCGTTTTAGTTCGGATATTTCGCTCAACTTGGTAAAGTACTCGGATTTGGCCACCAGGTACTCCGTCTCCGCCTTTAACAGATCCTTAGCCTGACGATTGGCATCGGACGGGGGATGGGGCACCACTTGTTCCAGATCGGTGAGATAACTCACCAAGGTGGACTCCGGATTGCGCCCGCTACCCTCGTCCTCGTCCAACATTTTTTCCACTATATTGCTTGTCGAATACTCAATGGTTTGAGGAGTTGTTATGGCCGGTTCGTTGGCGGATGTGTTTGGTTCCGCCGGAGAGGAATCCGTGGCTTCTGTCTTTATGCCCAGCTCCTCGGTGAGATCCTCTCGGTACTTTGTGCAGGATTTCCTACAAACATATTCCATTTACAGACTGTACTTGTAGAAAAGAGCGGGAAGCATTATTTATGCAAACCTGTGGATAATCAGCCTGTCTATACTGGTGTTCGATTGGCATTTACGGCAATGGATGCACAGAGCCCGGTACTTCTTGGCGCCCCCATCCTTTTCCTGTTTGAAGGCCGGCAGGAAACCAAGTTTTTTCCACGTTACGTCTTTTGAAACGCCACCAGCGCGTTTGCCTTTTTTTGCCAGCGACATTTGTTTTACATTCGGTTTATGGTAAATTACGTGAAAGTGTTGCTCGCTGTAGAGTCAACCGATGTATCGATAATACGGAATACTTTGGTATCGATGGTCGCTATTATTTGAATATTAATTAATTTATTAGATGTTTAGGACTTAAAGTAATTAAAATATAAAAAGCTGGCATCAAAAATATTTATGGTAAAATAAACCAATTTTCTGTTCGACAAACACAAATTCTTAGAAATAATATATTTTATTTTAGTAAAACATTTGTTGTATTTTAATTATCTAAGGTTTATTATTTAAGATTTGTTGCTTTACGCAAAAACAAGAAAAGGAAAAAATAAATTAAAATTGGTTGGGCAGCATCAAACCAAGACCTTTTTTAATGGTTTATATATATTATCGTACAACTAAATACCATAAAATTAACATAAAAAGTTAAATTATTTTCGAGCTTTGTAAATAAATTTTACATTTCTATTACTATTATATTTTTATAATTATATTAAACCCAACTGATTTCTTTTAAAAACAACTAAACTATCGATATCACCGATAGTAACTATCTGGTGCAGAGCTAGCGTGGATTTTACCTTCAGCTGTAGAGAAGCCATTTTATGTGCATCGTGTATAGTACATAGCAATTTGTAGCTCAATTTGCATTACAAAATGCCACGGAAGAAATCTGAAGACTTTTACAGGACCCACGGGTTCACCGCGAATTTCGAGAACGGTAAATATTCTGCCACATGCCATAATTGCAACAAGGTTCTCCAGAATACCGCGCTTTCCCGCTTGTCGTTACACAGGTAAACCGTACAAACATACATTAAACATAATGTTTACATTATGACATTGTCAAGTAATCCTCATTAAATTGTAGGCAAACCTGCGATTCGAAGCTAAGTAGAATTCCTGTAGTATTGCGTTCCTCCGAGCCGAAAGAACAGGACGATGGTCCCAGAATCAAGGTAATTATGAACATCTGTTTATAAACAACATCTTTATATACATACACATGTGTCTACATACATACTCATGTACATACATGTGTAAATACTTATGTGGTCAGAAAATGGAGGGAAATTGTTGATCTGTAAATCAAACAACATAATTTTATTCTATGTCTATTCATGTCAATTTCGATATAATGCACGTGTCGCAGGTCGGTTCATTTCAAATAATATCTGGTGTTGCAAAAATTGGCCAATTGGACTCTAAAAGTTCACGGAATATCCAGTCAATTTATTATAATAAATAAATCCAAGTTTCCCCCTAATTTTTGCCCTTAATCAATATTTTTATATTAAGACCAAGTTATTTTACTGAATTTTTAATTGATTATGATAAGTAAACTGTATAACTAACGTCTAAGTTCTTAATAATTTTTAATTTTGGGACTCTATTTTAAACGCACACAAGAACAAAGAAATAACAAAAATATTTACCCTCCAAAACCCTATTCATTACGCAGATCCAGAAAATTTCGACCGACGAAGATGATACCGAAGGCAAGGAGATTATTGTTAAGGTAATATCATTGAAACCCATGAAGTCCTAGGAAACTATGTTTGTATATATTTTCCCATTATCAGATACAACAAATTCTGGATGAGGCTGCTGCGGCTGAGAGTGCCAAAGCCCAGCCCACAATAAAAACGGAGATTCGCAGATCGAAAACGAAAAACGAAGAACCGGAAGAGCAAAATATGGAATTTGAAATCTCTAATATTGAGATACCAAACCGCGACTATGTTGATTACATGGACGAAAGCAAAGAGGTAAATATTCAATATTTTTTTGTCGTATAGACATCTTACCGCTTATGGAGCAGCACTACATATTGCAGCAAAATCCGGATGACTTGGCCAATGGAATGGCGACTATCGTCGAAGCCAGGCCAAGAAACAATTTAGCCGCCCTGAGAGCGGAAAAGGCGCGAGCAGAGATCAAACAATTCCAGAGCAAGACCAAGTTCTTGAAAACTGAAACGGAGAACCTGAAGCTGGAGCGCACTCTGACCTTGCTTCGAATTCAGAAACTGCGATTGGAAATCGATGCTCTACGCGCCTAGAACTTATTTAAACTATAATGTTTACATTATAAGGAAACACTTGTAAATGTCCGCATATTGACTTTGTGAAAACCGCTGTCTAGTTAGTTATACATATGCATGTATATCTAAAGGTGTCTGGTTTTAAATGAATATCTATAATTTTGTAAAGTATCATTAAAAATATATGCACCTGCTTTCAAAAAATAGAACAATTTTGAAAACAAAATGAAAGTTAATATTGGGGTCTTTTCATTTGGAAAATTGTTGTAAATTAGCAAGTCATTTAAATGTTGTTGTCCTTTTCGTGTTTATAATAATTAAATAAATTCAAATTTAAAGTTAATTGTTAATTTTAAAATCAATCGATTCAATGAATACCAGTGGAATCGATAGTTGCAACTCGCCGACAACCCTACTCATACCTATTCGATAACAGACCACTGCAACCCTGCTCATCACATGATAGCTAGGGAGATTTCGGGGAGGAGAAAAGGTTTTTCTTTGCAGTCGTTCGTCATATGATTAAAAGTCCAGCGGAAAACTGAAAATGTTGCGGATTTGCGTGATTTTCTCGCTGTTTATAGCAGCCAGTAAGTAGAACAGTCGCTAAATAAATGGAGAAATACAATGGCAGCCGGTGGAAGCGGCAATATAGTGGATATTCTCTGCATTCATCGATTCTCGTACTGGGGGTGGTGACACCCAAAACTCGGGACTTCTGAGTGTCCCCCACATGCATGCGCAGAATCTTGGACAAAGGAGATGAGTATAGCTTCTAGCACAATACTTTAAAGTTTCCTTTCCTATTCCGCAGTCAATGCCGCTGGCGAATTCACGGTGCTGAATCGCCCCAAGGCAATCAGTTTCAAGGGCAACGATGCATTGGAGAGCCACTACGTTGGCGATGTGCTCTACGCCTCCCTGGGCAACGCCGTCACCGGCGACTCCAACTGGAGCGGCCTGACCATCAACGATCCCTTCAACCTGGCCAAGGGCGTCATCGTGGTGCATGTCCAGGGCATCGGTCACGTGACCACCGCCGGTAACGTCAAGTCTTACGAGCTGACCGGATCCGGAACGGACGCCTCCCTGAATGCCCTGGCCGCCGAGCTGGAGGCCGCCAACGAGCCCGTTTGCGACATCAACTTCGAGCAGTTCGACGATGGCGTAAGTGCACCTCAAAGGGGGAAAACCATATCAGGAGTGCGAAGTAATAATCTTGACATTACAAAGAATTAAACGTTAAAGTCCTTGGTTAAACCACTTAAAGTGACAAATCACATGATCGAAAAAAGAGCATTTTAAAAAAGATTACTTATCAGGGGTCTCAAGAAACATTCGAGTAAATGCACAATGAAAATAGGTTTACAGTATCACATCTTAATCATTTAAAACAACTAATTTTCTGATGTGGTTTCCCCCGCAATGAAATCTCAGTGCTAGCTCGTTCTAATCCCATATTTTATCTTACAGGTTCAAGCCTGGAAGTCCTGCTTCGGTGACTTCGAGGCCCCGGCCGCCAAGCCCACCAAGAACCTGAACCCCTCTCTGCACTCCGCCGACAAGCAGTTCCTGCAGGAGATTGGATTCATCAATGCTGCCGGCGATCATCTGGCCGAGATGGCCAAGCCCTCGAATGTCCTGCTGATGCGCGTGTCCGTCGATGGAGTGGCCAAGGCTCATGGGGAGAAGTCCGTGGCCGTAGATGAGGCCAACAAGCTGCTGTCCGCCGCCATTGGCCGCCTGCTGGCCGCCTCCCAGAAGTCCAGCGACTCGGTCCTGTTTGTGCAGACCACGGAGAAGGATGTGGCGGCATCGCGCGCCAAGCGTGACACCATCGCTGCTTCCACCACCAACCCCTTCAACCTGGCCGTCTACTACAACAGCGACTACCCGGTGATCTTCAACATCATCCTCTGGTTCATGGTCGTCTTCGGATTGTCGCTGCTGGCCATCTGCTATGCCATCGCTGCCATGGATCCTGGTCGGGACTCCATCATCTACCGCATGACCTCCACCCGCATCAAGAAGGATAACTAAGCGCAGGAGGAGCCGAGGAGCGAGAGGAGCTTGCGTTACGCTTTGTTATTTCGTCCCCTTTTTGAGTTGCAATTGGCCAACTTCTACTTCAATCAAACAGCGGATATATTGTGTGTGTGTGTGTGTGCGCGTACAGCTGTCGCAGTAGTTGGTTTTATTATCTATACATAAGTATTAACAAACTTATCAGTTTTCGATGCAGTTGCGGCCGAGCAACAATTCCATAGTAATTTGTTACATTTTCCTGTTTTGTTGTACTTTTTAGGTTTATATATATACGAATATGCACAACATACTCGCCAAGTCAGTCAGTTCTTCAAACGATTCATCATATGTAAATTATCAAAATGTGAAGTGTTAACAAGTAACGTTAAATATATATAGCCTAAAAAGACACGGTTTTGAATGAAGTTTTTGGGTGGGCAGTAAATGGTCACAAACAATCATTTATTTTTGGCATTTTATTTTATTATTGCACTTATAAAGAGATTAAACATTTTTGAACTATACAAAATTAAAGCTGTTGTTTTCAAAAATAGTTTAGTTGAACAGAAATATGTTGACCTTAATTTAATTTCCATTTTTGGAAAGTTACATTTTTTTTAAATATTTAAATTTGGGTTGACTACCGCCAGTGAATTTTCTTTGGCATACTGCACTTAAAACTATACCAAAATTTATTTTCGAGATTTTTAAAGGTATAAAGTTCATCGTTAGCTACGATCCCCAATGATCGTTGGCATTGTCATAGGGTGAACTACTCCCGCCACTCCAGGCACAGCATCCACTGCCATTCTGAGCCACAGAATTCTCCCTTAGCATGGCCTGCAGGTGATTGATGTAGTTAATGGCAATCCTGTATAGTAAAACATTAGAATAATATATTATTTTGGAGTAGCAAACATTTTTCACTCACCTTAAGCTCTCAATTTTGGAGTACTTTTTCCCATTCGGCTTGGAAATGGGCAGCTTGGAGCGCAGTAAATCAAAGGCTCGGTTCATATCCCGCATCCTGGTTCTCTCCCGATCGCAGGCGGTGCGTCTGTAGTCCTTCTCCATCTGCAGGGCTTTCTCCCGCCAGGCGGGATTGTGTTCCTTGGAGATGTCCACCTCCGTGCTATTGGCGATACTACCACCGCCATAGCTCATGTAGATGGGTGGTGGCACCAGTTCACTGGGTTTGCTGCTTTCCAGGCACACTGGCGAGCCGGAGGCCACCTGACCAGCATGCCACATCGACACCGTCTGCGGGATCACACTGTATGTGGGTGGCAACAGACCCAAATTGGGTGGCTCTTTTCGTAGCCATAGCTAGGTGAATAGCTGTGCGGATGAGGTGGCGCATAGGCCAGCAGACCTCCTCCATCGGGGGTTAGGGTGTAGTTGAGACTAACTGCTGGGCAGCTGGCGGATTGGGGAGCACCAAGCTCGAGGAGGACGGGCTGTTCCGAGGATTCTGGCTCGCCCTCGGAGCCACCGCTCAAATACGGTCCACCCGTGGAGGCTGGCACAGGCACAAGAACCGCCGGGGGATCCCCCGGAGCGCTGGCCGCGGAGCTCAGCAGTTGATCCGTCATCGCCTAAGCCGCTTTTCGAATGACCGATCGAGAATTCTGGCCGGACTGCAGCAGGTTTACCTGGACTCGGTTCGGTTTTTTATTTTTATTTTTAGTGCATTAGAGAGTCTGCCAATCGTCGTGATGAATGGCTCACCATCGATCCGATTCGAGACGTGACTACTCATCCGGGGTTGATGAGAGCCGCATCTCGTCTAGTTTAAGGTGCCACCTTTTGTACGTGTGTCAACAGGTGATCTATGGGGGACCAACTTGTCGTCAAGGATCCTTTTGTCCAGGTACACAGCGGTGTGCAAACAAAGCGGCTTAATTTCTTCGCTATTGTGCGATCGATCCGACTCCGACGGCTGGAGATCGAGGCGCGTGTGGCAGGCTGGAGTTGCGTCCGACTTATGTCGTCCCTCTCTGGGATCAGCGATCGACGATCGTCGCCACAACTTCAGTTTGAGTTTTTCTTTTTCGATCGCTATATACAAACACCCACACTGGAACCCAGCGCATAAGCGTGTATTTTCGACGCATGTAAACACAAGTGTTTTGACTTAATTAAAAAAAATACATATCCATATGCCCAGTTATGAATATACGTCTATATGGAGGTAAGAATATGAAGCCTAGGCACCCTAGCTTAATGGTTCCCCCAATTCTAATTTCAAACTAATTTGTTCTGCACCTAATTCATGCATGATCGGTAAACACTCATTAATAAGTTTTAAAATCAAATTTGTAACTAAATGTGTTTATAATAAAACAAATAAATAAAATTTAAAATGAGAGGTCGTTATTAAATTAATGTTGTATATCAAGACTTTTCAAGATTTTACTTGGCCTTATATTATGTATCATTGGAGCTATTCTTTTTATAGGATCAGGTTTGATATGATATTTGAAAATCATTTGACTTTTTAAGGTAAGCCTATTTTAATTTTAAATTTTCAAGTATAATGCTTTTAATAAATTAAGTTTTTGAAAACACACTAAGCTTTTAGTATATGGTTAGATTACTTTTTCTTTACTACCTAAAGTTTGGTTTTTATAAATATTTTAAAGATATATTTCTCTAAATTAAAATCTCTTAGATATAACAAAAAGTATTACTTTTTCCGTATAAAACAACTACTGTGAACCCTGCCCGCGAAATCTAATTCATGTGCAAGATCTCCGGTTACCCGCAAACACACACAACCGAAAATGGGAAATTACTTACATTTTTGCGAAGTCGCTAGGTATTTTGTTAGCTGGTTTACCAGAGCACGTCTCTTGCTGGGAATCGGAAATGAATATGCGCCTAGTTCTCCGTAGAGAAGCCAAGAGAGTCGCTTTGTTTCTCCCAGACTCTCCTTGGCTCTAGGTTTCGGGTTCCCAGGGAAATTTACAGACCTTTTTACAACACACTCCAAATGTGGGTCACTGCGGTGGCAATTGCAAGTCGAAGGCGTTTATTGTTTTCTGCTTTATAAAAATAAACAGAGTGCGTAAAAAATAAAATAAATAGCGAGTACAACGATGCATTAAGTGGGCGCCACTTAGGCTCAGAGCCCAGGCATAGATCAATTCATTATAGCTATTTACATAGGAGTGCCTAGTCGGTTCGGTGCTGAACTAATCTCGCTTAGTTCGATTTAAGCTAATTTCGTATAAACTGTAGTATGAATCGATGTCAAGCAAATGCAGGTACTTCAACTCGGCTGGAGTTCTAACTGCCGAACTGCAGGGGTCGCAGTTCAAAGTACTTGTCCAGTACTTCGTCCGTGATCAGCTTGCGGGCTGCCTGGTGCTGCTCGACAATGGGTGTGAGGGTCTGAGGGGCAGAAAGGGAATTTAATAAATATATTTATACGTTTTTCATTAACAGAGTGTTACCTCAACAGCCAGCTTCTTAATCTCGCCCGTGAGCATCTCTCCCTTTTTGTAAGCCAATCGCACCTCCTCCACTTGGCATCATCCTCCAGGAAAAACTTAAGCAACTGGTAGGAAACATCAACTTCTGGCACGCCGCCCAGCTTGCGGTGCTCCTCCACAGTGACCCGTCCACCGGAGAAGGCGTACTTGTTGATCTTGTTCTTAATTTGCTTAGGCGTATCCGTGAGGAAAACCGCCGAGTTCTGGTCACTAGCTGACATCTTCGTTTTGGCGCCCTGCAGCGCTGGGAAGAAGGTGGAGTGGATAAGCGCGCACTTGGGGAATCCCAGACGTGGGGCCACATCGCGGGTCATGCGGAAATATGGATCCTGATCGATGGCGCACGGAATAAGGCAATGCACCTTTTTGTTGCCGAAGATAAAGGGGAAGGTGCTGGAGATAGCTGGTGCAGCTTGGGCAGCCGGAAAGCCAATCTTGCCAATGATGTCTGAATCACCAAATCCAAAGATGCCCTTCACTTGGTTGAAAGTAACGCACTTCTGGATGCGAATGATGTTCTGGTACATGGCAGGACACTTTCTGTAAGTAAAAGGAATGCGTTAAGAGGGAATTTAACAATAAATGCTATGGTAGTGATATAAAGCTCTTTTTCTTGAAAAGTGACACTTCTTAAAAGATAGCATTTCGAGATAAATGCATTTATGTATATGAATGTCTTCCAGGAAAGCAATTTCTGTAAGGATGATGCAACTTTTACACAACATGCATATATCATGTTTTTCGACTTATGACACTCTTCTAGTAAATGGTTTGATTGATTTACCCACCCTACGAATTCCAGGTTGTTGAAAATGAACGTCTTATTGACATCGAATCCCATGGCCACAATATCCTTGGCATTCTCTCGCGCCAGCTTAATGGCATCCTCCACTTTCAGGTCTTTCCATAGGGTCTTCTCGTCATCGGTCAGCTGGATGACCAGCGGCACATCGAAGGTCTCCTGCAGCCACTTGGTCATGATGAAGGGCACTAGGTGACCCACGTGCAGGGATCCGGAGCTAGGACCCCGTCCAGTGTACAAGTAGAAAGGCTTGCCCTGTTCCCGCAGAGTGAGAATCGTATGCAGATCCCGATGGGAGAAGAACATGCCGCGTTTGATGAAGTGGTGGGCCGGCTTCCCCGTGATTTTCTCGAAGCGTGCGATAAGCTCCTCATCGATTTTGCTGGAGCCAAAACGTTCTGCAACGTGTCATCATTTGGGGATTAGATCAGTTGATTAGGTACACAAATCAGTTGCTCTGTAAGGGCTATCTTACTTATGAGCTTATCGTAGTCGACGCCCGCGTCATTTGTGCTGGCCACATTCCATGGATCCACGACGTCGTCTTCGGCGGGTGCAGTGGCTCCCTCCTGCGCCTGGGCATCCGTGCCCGTTTCCACGGGCTCCGCGTCCGGTTTTCCGTTCAGCGTCAGTGCCTCCACGCCCTCCACAATCGTCTCCTTGGTGTCCGCCATTTGGTCAGTCTGATTTAATAGGATTTAACAGATAATTTAATACTGGCCAGTGAAATTGGGCCCTTCACATGTGAAACGAGGCGCTTATTGGTGGCTTATCGATAGTCGATAGCCTATGCATCGATGCCTCCTAAAATTCCTGTGGAGTGACAACTCTGCTAATCAGCTGTTGAGTTGCAAACTGTGGGTGAAGTGAAAAATGCAAGTGGATTTACTAATGATTTTCAGCTAAATTAGGGATTTAAAAACGCAATCATCATGCCTATCATGTACAATACGGGGGAGTGGTTCAAGGTGCGACCGGATTACTACAGGTGAGTGAACCAAAACTTCCTGATCCCTGAAAACAACTAAAGGATACGCCCATTAATCCCACAGAAAAGTGGAACTGGCTACGCCCGATTGGCCACTAGACTTGGACTTGGATTACATGTGGGTGGAGGTGGCTCCATATGGAGGACCATTGGCGGCCACACGCGATCCCACCAAGCTGGTGCCGGTTAAGGGAACCGCTAGACCAATGATCCGCATCTTCGACACCACCGGCCGGGAAACGGGTCACATATTGGTAAGTATTCATAAAACTAGAAACTTTGCTAATAACTTTCATTCCCTTCAGTGGAACCATGGCAAACTAATTGCCATGGGCTGGTCGGACACGGAGGAACTCATCTGCATCCAGGAGAATGCCACTGTCTTTGTGTACGACATGTTTGGCAGGGAAAAGGAGTCCTACAGTATCGGCGACGAGGCCAGTGTCACCAAGATTGTGGAGGCCAAGGTGTTTCAGTCCTCTGCTGGAACAGGAGTGGCTGTAATGACCACATCCGGCCGGATCTTTCTCAAGCAGAACAGTAGCAAGGCTGAAAGAAAACTTCCAGACATTCCCAGTAAAGATATTTCAACCAATCAAAATCGCAAGATCATAATCTAATAATATTCCTCCACAGATTCCAGCATCAACTGTGCCTGCTGGGAGATTGTAACCGAGGGACGCAATAGCTACTGCCTTCTGGGAAGGGATAGAGAGGTTATCAAGCTATTTCCTGGCGAAACTGTCGGAACCATTACCGCCAATCTTTTCGAGAAGCCGCACGAGCGAATCATAAAGATATCCGTGTCGTACAACCACCAGCATTTGGCACTGTATACCAACACCGGTCTTCTTTGGTTGGGCAGCGTGGATATGCGGCAAAAGTACTGCGAATTTGACACGGGACGTAAAGATATGCCCCTGCAAATGGAGTGGATCATGAATGCAGATAACAGCGAAGCTGATGCGGTGGTCATTTCCTATCCATCTTACCTTTTGATAGTAAATCGGAACGCAGATCGCAGCGATTTCCCCTACGATCCGGTCATGTTCCTTGTGGCCGAGATGGATGGCGTGCGCATCATCACACAAAGTTCGCACGAGATGATCCAGCGACTTCCCAAGTGCGTGGAAAATATCTTCGCAGTGAACAGCCAGGAACCGGCCAGCTATCTCTTCGAGGCGCAGAAAAAGTTTGAGGAGAAGTCCTACAAGTCGGACGAGTATCTCAGCATGTGTCGGGATAAGATCGAGCTGGCGGTGGCCGAATGCATTGAGGCGGCTTCCTATGAATTTTGTCCAGAACCCAAAAGAGTTTGCTCAGAGTAAGCTACCAATGATTTTCTTATATTTATATGCCTTTGCTAACTATTAACTTTTTTAGACAGCCTATTTTGGCAAAGGATTTATACGAGACCACAATCCCGACGAATATATGCGTATTATGCGAATACTGAGGGTCCTCAACACTTTGCGTCATGAGAAGATTGCCATGCCGCTCACCTTCAAACAGTAGTTTTATTTTAAAGAGTTAAATGAATTAAGGATGGGTTTAATTCAGATTTTAATTTCAGGTTTTCACATCTAAATACCGAGGTGATACTCAGTCGTTTGGTGTTTCGCAAGCACTATGCCATCGCCATACAAGTTGCCAAGCACTTAAACCTACCAGAATCCTGGATATTGGAACACTGGGCCTATCACAAAGTTATCAATGATCCTAGTAAGTGTTTTGTTCTAGTTCTCTTTAGAACTATTAGTTTAATACTTTGGTATCCCTAGATGACATCGAAGTGGCGCGCAAGATTACAGAAAAGTTCAAGAATCCTTCGGTCGAAGGCATTTCTTTTTGCAACATTGCGGCAAAGGCCCATCAAGCTGGACGGGATGATCTAGCCATCAAGCTGCTAGAGCTCGAACCTCGCGCTTCGCTCCACGTTCCACTTCTGCTGAAGATGCGCAAGTTTGATCGGGCGGTGGGCAGCGCAACGCAGTCTGGGGATACAGAGTTGATCACCCAAGTGCTCTTGGAGATGAAAATGCACATGATGCTGTCTAACTTACATGTGAGGCTATTCCTTTGGCTTAAAACTAATGTGTTTGTTAATGTAAAATATTTTTCTCTTCCAGATGACCATCAGGGACCATCCGCTGGCACTTAATATGTACAAGAAAATTATGCGGGAATCCAACAGAGCTGGTCTCTATGGCATATACAACACCGAGGACGATCAAAAGGGAATCGCAGAGTATCACTTCGAAAATGCCATTGAAACGGAAGGATTAGAGTCGAATCTGTCGATGATTGGAAATGCTTATGCCCAGGGACGTTGCACTTTGGAGGCAGATCTGTGTGCGGACACCAGTCGACTACTCAAGCTTCAGAAGACGCTGAGCACCAAGTACAATGCCAGCTTAAATGGATTGTCAATACATGACACCATTCAGGAATTGCTGCAGATCGGCGAACTGAAAGAGGCAGAGCGGATCAGAAGTGATTTCAAAGTGCCGGAGCGGCGCTTCTGGTGGCTGCGAGTCCTCGTACTTTCAGGGCAACACAAGTGGGACGAGTTGGAGAAGCTGGCCAAAAGTAAAAGAAGTCCCATTGGCTACGATCCTTTTGTGGAAGTATGTTTGAAGCAGGACAAAGTAAGCGAGGCGCGAAAGTACATACCGAGATGTCGGGACAATCGCAGGGGCGTCTGGTATCTGCGGGCCAAGTGAGTGAAATGTCATATGGTATTGAATTGGATCCTCTTTACTAAATCCTCTTTTGCATTTTCACAGACTTTTTAACGAAGCCATAGATTCCGCGTTCGAGCAAAGGGATGTCCATAGTCTCTATGAACTCCAAAAGAATCCTGCAATCGTCAACAGTGGCACGCTGCTCACCAAAGTTTGCAACAGCATTGCCACGCTGGAAGGAAAGTAGCCGCTACATTCCTATTTATAAGCAAAACAATTGCACATAATAAAAAGGGTATTTATTTATGTCTATATTCGTACATTGAGTTTTGCTTTTAAAGTATCCGACGGTTATTTATTCATGTATATGTATGCCAAGAAAAAGGGCTATAATACAAAATAGACAAAAGGTTACAATAAAATTTTTTTTAATAAATTATTTTTCAACAAATTGAAAATGTAATGCTTCAAAGGATGGGAACTCATATTTTGTCTTAAATTATGGTTTCTAATGTTTTTTTTTTATTAATAATGTTATAATACAATGTCTTAAATTTTGGCTTTTTTAATATATTGTTATTTTAGCTTCTCAATATTTTTGAATGTTAACAAGTTAAGGACAGAAAAAAAGGATGAGAAGAAGCTAGAAAAACTTGATTAGTTGCCTTTTCCTTACCTCTGCGTTAAAGGTATTAAATTTGCCGAATACATTTCCCCAAAGGACATCCCTCAGCAATCCATTCGCAGTGCCCCACTAAAAACCAGCCACTGAGCTGCCGACACTAACTATAAACCCAGTTAACGCACACACAATTTGGTGTTGTCCTTTGCATAAGTAACTCGGCTTGGCCCCCGCAATTTGTAGACAATTTCGTTATACGGACCATAAACGCGAATTCCCGATGCTCGACGCCTGTGTAAATAAAATTTATAATCAGTGCCACATCCACGACCCAAAGGTGCCAAGGAAAAAGTAAAGTATTTTTGTGACGACTCCTGGCCCCTTTTTTTTGGCAGGATAGCCCGGCTCTGCAAACAAAAATGGCAAATGTTGACGCCTTTATTGGGTTCAAAATGTGAATTTCGTCATGGAAAATGGAGGCAGGACTTTTGGGGATGGCTGTAAGTAGTTGACATTGCCCTAAACACGTTTGCCAGCCGCAGAGAGCCTGACATTTTCTGACTTTACGGGGGAAGCCGTGTTGGGAACATGGAATTCCAATTAGTCTTCATTTTTAGTAAATTTAACGCAAACTCCCCGTCCATTTACTCGGCCAATTTTCAAAGCGGCCAACATATTTGCCACGCGGTTGTCCTGGTTACTTCCATTTTGGCCACAATTTATGTCCGATTCGATGTTCGATTCGCAGAGCTGCTGAGCCGAATTTATTTCCAATTTTCGGCCGTTGTTTAAAAAACGCTTTCGCTGACAGTCGCAAACCATTGGTGGTTTTTGCCTGCGGTTTTTCAGCTGCCCTGCGACATTTCCGATGATTTTCGGTTGGTAAATGTCACATGCGACAAGACAAACTAAAAGGCTATTGCATTTTAAAAAGCCAACATATATTTGCCGAGAAGGGATTGTTCTCAAATTAATATTCATGGGCAGTACGTGCTGACATAATTGAAACACCCCCGAAAAACATATCAATTTCGCTTCGATAGCCTTTAGCAAAGAACAAATATTACTACACTTTGAATTGAAAGCCAACAAGAAGCAACTACAAACTGTTTACCAACTATATATACATTATTTGCAGAGTCAGCAGAGGACCACTACAAACAGCACCGATATTATAGTCCCTATCCGCGTTATTGATGGTCACATTCCGCGCTTTTTATTTCATTGCATTTTTATATTTTTAATAAACTCGCGAAAGCGACAGAAATTACAAGAGATGTCAGGGTGAATTTCTGGCGGCGAGCCAAAAAACCAGGCCATCCAGACCAGCAGGACCAAATAAAACCAGGCTGCTGCGAAATATGGCGACTGCAATGTCGGACGGGAGCTTTGCCTCAATTTATAGGACTCGACTCGGCACACCACAGGACACTTTAAGAATCGCTGGCGAGTGTAAGGGGAATATTATAAAGGAATAAATCAAGG